TACCCTTAGAGATGACCAATGTGATGGGGTAAACATTTCTGGGACTGTAGAGGCAAAGCAGCAGAACAATCAAATCTATATGCTTGAAGCTGCCATTGAGCATACAAATGCCAGATTCCCCAGACTACAGCAAGCACCATTCACGTAGCTCTAGTAGTTTGTCTCCACTCAATTCATTATGGAAAAGTACTAACTGAAAGTCTACTAGCAAACATTACACAGGTAAGTGTAGAGGAGATCCCTACATCAGTAGTTGCCTTTAAAATTGCTGCTAAATACCACTAAACCCACAAATGATGCTAGTGCACACACACATTTAACAAAGCATTCAACCACCAGACTACTTGCCTTTCAGAATATATTGCTGTGAATGGAAACAATGTTCTCATTGTCTTGGAGCTCTGCAGTGGTAACACAATGGTGATCAAAACAAGCCCACACCAATACGTGCAACACAGCACAGTCCAGGACTTGGTGCAGATATGAGTCAAAGGCCCAAGTGTGGTTGCTTTTCAGCTCTATTAAGTTGTTTCCTGATGACTTGAAGGGAGACCAGGAACAAAACATACTCATGGACACAGGCAAATTGAACACGACAGCAGTAACAGATAGTACCTGTGGTGGATTAAACTAGAGCTATTCTTGACAAAAGTATCAACAAATAAAGTGATTCACAGGCATAAAAAGGATGGATCCTGATTCTTGAGTCTAAGGAAACTATGATTTATAATTTTGCTATGAACATGCTGTGCTTAGGGCCAGATTACAGCTGGCCCTTGTGCAGGTTAGGTTGCAGGGGAGGGAGTCGAAAGAAGGCCAGAAAGCTTACCCCATTGCACCATCTATGCAATGCAGCTACAATTGCAGTCATTGCACTCTTCTGATTGCAGAGACTGTTTCCTTCCTTCATTCCAGGTGGACCTATATCCCTGTCTCTACTGTTCCAACCACAATTACTGTCTGGCTGTGGACAGGGGCACTCCCTGAACCTTCCTAAGCCACAATGTCTCTTGGAGACATCCCACACAGTCAACACAACTGTGCACCACCCCTAACAAGATCCTGTGATGTTGAGTCACAGAGGATTCTGGATAGTAAGGAGATAAAACTTTCTTCTACTAACAAAAAAATAATTGTATTTCAGAAAAAGTATTTTCTTTAATAAACTTCCCCTTCTGCCAAAGAGTTAATTGTAAGCCTAAATTATTTGTAAAATCCTACTACACTACCTTTAAGGATTTGTAATATAGGTAACAGTACCCCTTATTGTAAGGAAGTCTGATTTCATCAATTCTGCTAACATCATAAACCATAAGAGTAAAGCTCTAGTGATTTGCTCATATTATCAGAACCTCAGCATGGAATTACAGCCTAGATCAGAGCTGGCCTTCAGGGGTCTGCAAAGCCAATGTCCACAAGGTATCTGAATATAAACCTGGGCTGAATTTGACCCCAGAATGCTATTAGTGACAAATATTACTGCAATAGTGAATTCTAATTCTGACTAAATATCACTTGTATTGGTGAATATGGACTTGCCTTCTGTCTCTCTCATAAACTAATAGGGAGAATGATATTTGTCTCATACTCCTGAAAAGGAGTTTTATATGTAAATTCCTGTTCAGAGACACAGTGCATTCAAGGATATTTATGGTAAAATGGAAGTAGATCCCTTGCAGACCTTTCTAAAGTTACTGAAGGTCACTACTAACATGTTAGCTGATGCAAACAACTGAATAATAATATTTAATGGTCACATAGCTCATTACATCTTCAAAGCACTGTACAGACATTAGCTAATCTCTTAGTCACCAGTTTATGTTTTAAAACAATACTTTGTGTAATGCAGCCTCTTTGCCATGCAACAAATTCACAACTGTTTTCTTTTTCGCATAGCTAACAATACAGAAACATTTTTCACTAAGTGCATTAAGCAATCAGTGAAGTCCTCCATTATTCATACACATGACATTGCAAACTGAACTGGTACACTGGGAACTGTGCTGCTGGACGTATAAGGTTATATTTACTCAGCTGGGGTTCAGTTCTCTAGGGCTCACACATTACTGAACATTGTAGACTCTCCTCTGTACTGGGTAGACATTTTTAGAGAGAGGGTTTGTAATATTTTGAGCCAATTTTAGTTTTTATATTATTCTTTACTCCGTGATTTTTAGCAATACATGAGAATAGTTTGTGGCATTTACATTTGGGAATGTAAAATTTTAGTAGTAAATGACCTCCCCAGAACAGCTATCAGATAGAAAGGCACCTTGCTGTTTATAATATTAGGCCCCAGTCCTATATTTAGATTCACCTGTGCAGAATCTTAGTCCCACACAGAGTACCACTGAAGTCAATACAGGTTCATTTGGGCACAAGAATCCATCCCATTAATCCAATTGCAGGACTGGGGCCTTAAAGCCCAATCTTACAGTCCTTTCTCAGGCACAACTCCTGTTGACTTTAATACTGAATATTTCTGTTTGATTTTCCAGTGGGACTTTTGCTAAAATTAGGACTGCAGCACCACTCAAGCTCACTTGTCAAAAGATCAGGTAAAAAGTTAGTTAGAATTATTTAAATGGTAAAACTGTATGGTACTCAATATCTTTTCCAACTATCCCAATGTGATCCTTATCTAAGTGACCCACCTCAAAACTCTTAGCTAGTTAAAGAGAAGTCATAAGCATTTCAAAGGGCAGCTGAGCCCTTGCATCCCCACTGATCTAATTGGGAACACATAGGTATAAACCAGAGCAAAATTTGGCCCCTTATGTCCAATCTGGGTCTGGCTCTTAAGTACACATTGGCTTCCTTGGCAGTTGGGCAAAAGGCTTTCAAGTATGGAGTGGAAATTTCTCAGCGGGATTTAAACTATGTACATATCACCTAAACTGCTTGGCATGATACCATATTACTGAGAGATTTATAGGATAAAAGAGCTGAAAGATTTTAAACAGCAAGTCAAGTAGTCCCTATAAGGGTATATACTCCAAATAGTAAAAGCTACTTCAAAACAATAAAAGATTTTAAACAACCGAAAATCACTGTGACTTGTTTCATTTAAAGTTGCCACTCCCATCCTTAACTTCCTCTGTCGTGCCAGTAAACACACAACATATGCACACTCTGATCAGAGACACCTGGCTTAGTCTGCAAATATCAGCTCCCAGTACTGTATTATGGAGCAAAACAGTATCTGAGACAAATTGGTTATGTACACCTGAAAGCAAAAGTTGGATGAAACATTTTAAACTAGTTTTGGTTACAATACTGAATACATTTCAGAGAGGCTAATACCTTGTATGCCAAATGTCAGCCTGGAATGTCTTACTACCACTGAGTTACAAACTCCTGAGAAAAGGATTTATAATGGAAATATTGACAGAGCCCTACCTATTAAAAGTATTACTACCCCAACTATCCTCCCAGAGTGAACTTTACAATCCAAAGTTATACATTTCTTAATAAAACAGTGATTTCCAGTGACAGAAGCTTAGCTGTAACTGCAATGTTCAGATAAAATAAAGAGTGTTGCAACCAACCAAACTAGTGCGGTTTGGGCCAGGACACTGTGGCTGTTAGTGCTCCAATTTGGTTTCTTTTTTTCTTTCAAGCACTATAACAGTTACTGTGCATCTCATACTGTTGCCCCTGCAGGTGTTGCTGCCAGTGTCTTGCTGCTACTCTGGGCTGAATCATCAACACTTTACACAGGGCTTCCTGTCAATCACAAAGAGGAAGTACTGTTTCCAAAAGAGCCAATTCAATGAGGCGTGATGCTAACGGACAGAGTAGTGGTAGCAGAGACTGTTAACATTGCTTCCAAAAATGGATGGGGATCCATTTGGCTCTTAGAGCTGCATTGTTTTGTACTGTTATTTTAAATAGTTAGAGAGGGATTGGAAATAGAAAGAGAAAATCTTTTATTAGTTGGAAGGCTGAAAGGAGAGCAGACGAGAGGATTTATCTATAAGTATCTATACTCACTGCTTTATTATACCTGGACCCTGTTTTGGGGATTTATGTCGCCGCCATAACCACAGCTAATAGGGCTTCCTTTTATTATGTGAACACAAATTTAATCCTATGTATGGCACAGTACCCATTGCCATACCCCAATATAAATATTTTCACTTCTCAGTTATACCCAAATTGTGTTTATTATATAGAGCATGACAAATTCTGCAATCATTACTCTGGCAACACTGCCTGTGAAATCCATGGGAATTTGGAATGTCACATCTTTCCCAATATAGCTCAGTAATACAATGTCAAAAATAGTGACTTACAATTTTTCCTATTCAGCTGTAGGTACCACACAATGGACCAAAAAGAATATCGAAACACCGACAATACTTGGCAATCATATATTACTTTTCATCCAGGGATCTCAAAACATTTAACAAACATTGCTAAATACACCTCACAACAACCCTATGAGGTATGCATAGTAATGATAACATACACAAACATCACTTCTCCTGCCACAGAAATGCAGTCACTTCTGGGATGGAAGAAAGCATATGTTTAATATAAAAGCAATATTACACAGAAGTTTAAGACATAATGCTTCATATATAAAGGTAGAGAAAGAGAGTAGGCAGAGCCACAACCTTAAGGAGACAACTTAAATTAGGTCTGAAATACTGATTTTGTAAATAGAGAAACCAAAAATAGTTAAACCAATAGAAAGTTACCAGGATTTCTATAAGATTCCCATGGAAACAGGTATTTTAAAACAAATTAATATCTCTCTGTAGTGCCTATAAACTAAACATTACAAGACGGAGAACCAATGAAACTATAAACAAAAGTGAACAGACTTCAGTGGTATTCATATAAGAGTTAAACAGCATCAACCATGAAAAGTATATTGGAAATTTAAGATTCTTGCATTCTTGATACTTTTAGTTTATTGTAGCCTAAGTATAGAAATGTATTTGTTCATTTTTAAGCACAGTGCATCCCTGTAAATACCAAAAAGCCATCCTTACCTTCTTCATTTAAAATCCATGCCAAAAATGTATAGTCTGATTCGTAGCCACAAGTGCTGTCTTCAAAGGCACAAGACCCAGTAGAGAGCTCGACAGCTCCAGCAAACGGCAAAACTGTAGGGACAAAGAAAGCTCTGTTCACACAGATAGCATTGCATTGCACTCAGAATGAAAAGAATGGTGAGGGAAACCACATGCTTCTCTGCAACTTGGGCAAGCAGGTCTCATGCTCATTCACTCATGGAAGCACCAGGAATAAGGGCAGCAGATTGAACCTGTTGCATTCAACACTCCTTTTTCGCTTTGATATCACAGGTTACATTATAGCCCCCAACAGAAAGATGCTGCCTCACTCACACCTTCCAAAGTGAGGCTGCACACACAGGACCTTTACAGGCACTTCACTGCTTTCACAAGCAAACAGCCCACAAAGGCAAGAAAGGAATTAACAGCAACAGGGACTCGCCCAACTTCTCCCCATATCTGGGCCCCCTTACCTTGCACAGTGAGGAGATACAGCAGGAGCATAGTCACCCGTCCAGTGAGGAAAATAATACAGCTCTTTGGAATGGAACTAATAGAGGGGAGAAGGAGTGGGGGGAGTAAATGAACCCTCCAGGGACTGTAGCAAATAAAACTTCCAAAGCTGCAGACAAGTTGGTTCAATGTATGTGTGTTTGCACCAAGCCTCCTTATGTGCTCAGGACAAGACACCAGAATGGAAGCAGGCGCAGCGGCAAAGATGAGCTGAGCCTGGAGAGGGAAACCTACCAGCTACACAGCTGGTCCTTGGCTCAAATGAGGATAGGGAGGGGCTACTCCAGGGCTCTGTGTTCCTCAGGCACTGCAGCTTATAACAGAGTTCATCTCCACAGCCACTCATTGCAGGAATAGAAAGGAAGAGTGAAGGAAAGACTGAACATAATACATGCAATTTAGGAAGTTTGCAAAACAGAAAGGGGGACGAGGGGTTCTCCATGGGTGCTACGGTCATTTTATAAGTAAGTTGCACCATGCACACAGACCAACTTCCCACAGCTGCATTTTGTCCTTCACTAACATTATTCCGATGTCCCCATACCTAGTTAAAATGGGACCTGTCATGTATGCCTTTTTGCCTCAACATTAACAGTACTAGAAGATGGAATTTCCTTAAATTAGATTGCTTGAAACTCTGTACATTTACAGCAGAAGGGAAAGATTTTCCTATTCAGCACTATTGAATGTTTCCATCTGTCTGTAATGCTTACATCACATATGCGGATATGCCAAGCAGTTCCATGCACACGTTGATAGCATGTTTAGTCACTAATAAGACTTTTATGGTGTCACATTGAAGGTTTTGTTTTTAAATGATGTTTCCTATATAGAAATAATACAAGCCATGCAGCTGAATAGATCATAAGCAAACATTATATCAGAAAGACATGAGCCATCAGACATAATGGTTAATTGTGACTATGTTTGTTTGTTACAGAATATTTGGATGTATGTCAGATACAGGAGCATTCTGGGAACTGTAGTTCAATAACGAAGCCAGTATAACATGGCTTAAAATCCCTTTATTTCTATTTTAATCATTTTTCCATTATACAGTCTTTGTTGCATCAACAGTTGTTTTGAAACAGTTTTTCTATTAAAAGGTTTGGGAAAACATCAATGTTAAATTATCAATTGTAAGGATTTCTCAGGTTGTTGCTAGGAAATTTAACTTCAGTGGTGCATTTAATTACTTGTTTAATTAAGTGATTTGAATAATTTGACCAACATAAATAATTAGTACACTCTGAACCACAATTTGTGCTGACTTACATACTGTGCAACTCCACTGAGGCCCATGGAATTGCACACAATGTAAGTCAGGTAGGGTTACCATATTTAACAAATAAAAAAAGAGGACCCTCCACGGGGCCCTGGCCCCGCCCATTTCCCACCCCGAGCCCCACCCCAACTCCGCCCCTTCCCCGCCCCGCCCCAACCCCGCCCCCTCCTCCCTCCCACTCCCAGCCACGCGGAAAGGGCTGCCCCAGCGCTACCGGCTTCACTGTTTGCCGGGCACCCCCAGACCCTGCGCCCCCGGCCGGCGCTTCCCCAGCGCAGCTGGAGCCCAGGAGGGGAAGCGCCCAGCTGGAGGTGCAGGGTCTGGAGGCTGCCCGGCAAACCATGAAGCCGGTAGCGCTCGGGCTTCGGACAGCCCCTATGCCTCCGGACCCTTCGCCCCCAGCCGGGCCCCTTCCCCCCCCCGCCCTGGCGGGCCCGGGGGCCGGGGGCCGGGGGC